ATTTGTATTTCGGTACCGTTTCTCTTGTTTTATGTGCAAACCAGTCCAACGTTAGAAGACAACTGCTCCCGTACTACGCCGTTAATCGAGCTGTTCGTTGAGATCGAGTGCGCTTGCCCTGCCAATAACGAACATTTTGGCCATGATTGGGAGTTGTGTGCCTAATTCTTCATATTTTGCGTCACTCCATGAGATTTGGAAGACTGTTTAATCGACCTGTCTGTGCCAATGTTTTCACTAGTTGGGTACGCTTTTCGTTGTACCGCGTAGCCTCTATGCTGGATAGTTTTAGTCGCTTGAATAACCTTGGAAACTAGCCACGTAGAACACCAACCGGTAGCTTAAGTTCGGCGATTTTCCCTCCCAAGTATGCGACCCGATCCTTTTGATTCGTCGTAAGTGTCTGCATTATCTTAACTACATCACTATACAAGCACATACGTCACAAAGCCAGAAACTACTTATGATACACTGTGATTCCCGTCACCCTGTAGATTAGTACCATTTCATTTAAAGCACTTGGTACAGAACGAACAATTGATTCCTGCGATAACTTATGTTGCCTGAGTAGTTAATTTATAAATAGCATTGGGCTCGTTATTCATTGGAACTTCCGTTGTCAGGCTGCGTTGCAATATGTCGCGATGGCTCATGTATACCTTTGGGGCCACCTTGACGCGTATTAACACGCAATTGAGGTGCATCGAGAACGCTAAAATCTTGCCAGCCATCTGAGCAAATTCACGCAACTACGCTTGAAATTGTATCCCAACACCCATTTAGGCGTCGACTGATCCGGAATTGTGGTCAAAATGCAGCCGAGTGGAGCTCTAGTGGAGAAAAATGAGCCAAATGTAGACCTAGTGGGTTTAAGCGAACAACTGTATAAATTCTGTCGCTTCCAAGAAGAACCCCTTTACTTCTCTACTCGGGCTTGTTGAAGGCGTCAAAATGAAGCTAACCGTCAGCATATGCATACGAGTAGTGAGTTAGTCGCACTCGTGTGTTTCCACAGGTATTCTATGAGAACAGCAGTCACAGGCGCAGCGGAGATGCAGAGAGGAAAATTGCGCAAAAATAAGTCTGCTGGATGGAGTCATTAAAACCACATTGGATGATTGTGCTCACGTCCGCGTGCACCGATTAAGTGAAAATTAAATCCGAAATAGTCGGGAGCGCCGAAGTGATGCTTCTGCTTATTGGATGATGTAATACTTGTTTCGGCTGACCTCGCAAGGGCCTCATCTTTGAGTGCTTGTTATCTCAAACTGATGAGATGAAGTACGTTCGTAGAAGTCATGGAATTCAACGCAATTTTAGGGGAAATGCATGTACACATCTTCTACGGTTACGGTCCCGACAAAAGAAAACACCAAAAATCACTTCATTGAGAAAGACATCACGTAGTAGGATGTCTCATGACAATCCATTCACACAGCGGGCGATTCAATGTGCTACCCCAATTTGTTCATTAACCGTTGTGACAAGCGTTGCTTGCCAGCGACTAGGTGGGGTGGGCTAGTGCTTTCCGCAGATATCCCAAACTCTTCGCGTTCGAGTGCATGTGAAAGCACATGCCGGCAGAAATGTTTTTATATGCGCCAAATACCGTGTGGACAATATCAATGCTAAAAGTTTGACATGAATCCCGATTTCATCCAACTACAAGTGGAGCAGTCCCGGACTGATGGTCATGCTTTAAAATAAGCTAATGACACCACTCATCCTGGGAAACTGGTCTAACTTCCACAAGTTTTCCATGGAAATTCAAGTGAAGGTAAACGGCCAGGACTAGCTGAGGATTGATGGTGGATAGCCAAATCGGTAAATCTTCTCCACATACACTTATGTGAATGGATTGATCTGATGGCAACCTTAGCATTCTACAGAAAGTAGGCGAGTAGCATGGCCCGGACAGCCATGTACGGCCTTGTAGCCCAACGGAATCTCCAAGATTAATAACTCCCTAAAGACGGTTGGGGACCGACCCCTCAGTGGTCGGCGCAATTTCCGGTCTGGATTCAACATCCACGAACTTAAGTTTGTTGTGAAGAAACTGTCCTCCCTGTACATCAAGGCAAAAAGCCGAGTGAGTAAGGTGATCGAGCTCCCACAGCATCCGCCTACTGAGTGTCGAGCTACCATAATTATCAACAAAACTTGGCTGATCTCCGAGTATAACGTTCGCCGGTCGAACGTTGAATTACGCCACTGATCCCCAAAAGAGGACAGCGTTGGATCGCAACAACTACGGTACTATTAAACTATACACAGTTAAGCAAATCGGACGTACCTCAGTTGTTCAAGATTCCGGTGTATCACCGTCAACAACAAAGTGCAAGTACACAACGGAAGGAAACGTACTGTTCAACCCAGGCAGCCAGAGGACAACTGAACGCACGAGATCCTGGACACTGCTCTGGAAAACTCTGAGTCCTGCGGTATTGAACTGCTCCTTGGTGACCTCCTTCTGGACTTAAAGTACGCCGATGACATCGCTGTGATTTGCGAGTCCTCCCAAGCCGCCCAACATGTGCTGCTTAGACTGGAGATGTCCGCCTCCCAATTTGAGTTGACATTTAACCCTTCCAAATGTAAGGTCCTGTTACAGGACTGGCCAAGTGCATGTCTTTCTCACACCCTTTCGGGGCATCCGCTGGAAGTGGTCGACGAATTCATTTACCTTGGGAGTTGTCTTAGTATTGGCTGTTTGACAGATGAGATCTCCATGCGTGTCTTCAAGGTTAGAGTCGCTTTCGCTAACTTTCGTCACCTATGGCTTCGTCGTGACCTCAGCCTCTCTGTCAAGTGACGAGTTTACAATGCTATGGTACGAGCGATTCTGCTGTACGGCTGTGAGACTTGGCCCGTTCGCAAAAGCGATGTTCAGCGGCTATCTGGCTTCGATCACCACTGCCTGCGAAGCATTACTTGTGTTCGATGGCGGCATCACATCAGTAATGCGGAAGTCCGTCGGCGAGTCTTCAGACCTAACGAACTGCCGACCGATTGATAGCATCATTTCACTGCAAAGGCTTCGTTGGCTTGGGCATGTGCTCCGCATGCCTACCCAGCGGCTACCACGACGAGCCCTATTTGCGAGCACAGGTATGGGATGGAAGTGACGAAACTCAGTGTTTTGTAAACCTTTGGGTCTGCTGAGAGTTTACCGAAAAAATTCTTTATCCTTAACTGATTTTTAAAATTGATGCATATTAATGAAATGGGAATATTTGGTTTGCTAAAGATCAGCATTGCCCGTGATTCATTGAAATTCCGAAGAAAGTTGCATTTGTATTGAACCTTATCGGCAGCTATATAGAGACCAAATATTAGTATACCAAATACTGAGAGATTCCAGCTACGTAAACTGCACGTCACAAATCTTATCACAGACACTAGCCTGAGACAGTCACTTGAAATTAGGTCAACAATACGGTCATCTAGGTTGTCAACGAATTTAGATCTTCATCATGGTTTGCCGACCCTAGGACCCTCTTCTAAACACAAACACAAACAATTGTCTGTCCATAGTTTCGCCATTTTGAAAAACCATCTAGAGATCGCACTCAGCTCCTTATAGTTTGTTGTATGAACACATCCTAGAGTGCATTCCTATTAACTAGCATTTTGAAATTGTGAGCTAAACTGATGTACGTAAATGAGTACAGGTGGGTGAGCACTCGGACTGTTCTTTGCAAGGGCCATTAACCATCTTAACTTGTTATTCCGTTTTGCACGGTGCAGCCTCATTCCCATACCCTGCTTCTAATATGCTGTTACCCCGTCGCTTAACCAACCGAGTATTTTATTTTCTTCGCAGGTGTAGTCGAATTTTTAATTCCTTCCTTTACCGACCTACGTGAATTGTTAAGCATTAGCTTTTTTACCTGCTATAAACCATTGTTCCATCATGATTCTATAACTTCCACCTGACACGCACAACCAACTTCAAAACCGACCATAAAGGGCAGTGTTTTCGGGCAAGCAACACCCATTAGTAGTCTATACTAGCCGAGTTATTTCATCAGGAATGGGAAGTCCTCTAACGTATTGCAGTTAAAATGGCACAGGAAACAAGCTTTTTTAAGCGTTGACCCGTACCTTTAAACTACCTAAAAAGTTTTGAGCAGTCAATGTCATCCATGCCTTCTAGCAGTTCCCCCCCCCCCAACGAAATGACCGTATGCAAACTAGTACATGCTACGTCGAACATAGAAGCAGGGACGAAGGTAAGAACAGACTAAAGACCTGCTATATATCTTTTATCTACAGACTTTTCTGCGTACTTATGTAAAGGACCAAGTATCAAGTTATCAACTCAGCTCTGTATTTTTCTCAAAGCTGCATTTATTCATTTAGTTAACCGTGTGCCATGCAAAAATGCATTTGCCTACATTTACTGCCCGTTTTATTTTGTGTTCCACGTGAATATGCCATCATTATTTGGCTTCATCTCCATGAATTGTTACTAGAAGATTCCAACCCTCACATACAGTATACAGGCTTTTTCTTCATCAATGATGTGTTGACTCACCAAGCTATTTTGCTGCACAACGTAATTATTTTAATTGCTATCCCATTCACACCTTGGGTACAGTCTCAGTTCTCACTGGACAAGAGCGGCCGTTTCATTATCATCGCTTTTGTACAACATGGCCCTCAAGCTGGCCTACGTACGCAAGCCGTTCTTCAACTATGTCGGTTTTAACAAAATCGCTGGTAACTCGCACGACGGAGTACAGCACCCCTTTTTGTTTTGCATCGTAAGCCTTCCATTCCGAATGCGCTATACGTACGTAAACCCTTATCTTCTTCCCACTAAATGGCTGAACTTGCCGTGAGGTTCGGTTTCATCAATTCGAAGTAGTATGTAATAATGTATGAACCATGCAAATGCTTTCAGCTCCTGCTCTTTGTGAGATAGTTCAACTCGTAACCAGAATGCCGACATCTAACATGTACTATACGAGAAACGATCGTTCACTTGCCTATTTCAGTTTGCATGCTCTTAAGCGACGTGAACTTGACCAGAGGGCTTGTGAACTTGCGAAAGCTGAGGAAGAATGTCGACGTGCCATCAATCTTGCTGTTCGACGCTTCAATGAGGCCTTGAAAGCAGAACAAGAACAACGTCGTCATGAAAAGTCAAAACAAGAACAGGATGACAATATGACAGAAATATGCAATGCTATATACAGTGACTTCTTAACGGAAAATCCCGCTCAGGCCATGTCAGCTTTTGGACCAAACCGCTACATTCCTGATCGGTTTAAGGGCATGCCTCCGGACATTGTGAGTGACATACGCAAGACTCAAAAGGAACAAATAAAAGAGAGAGAGGTTAGAGTTTCTACTGTTATGTACGTGCCTAGCTTATATTGTACTGCTCAGCTACCTCATAGCTCCGAGTGCGAAGTGCTTGCCTCTTACATACCTGCTGGTGAAAATACTGTGTCGTACAACCAGTGTTTCAAAGACGATCAACCCTATTAATCGCCGGTCATTGAGGTTTATCTTCCACATAGTCGATGGTGCTTATCAATAGCATCAGATATCATGAAAAGATGTTCCAAAGGTAGCTCTCCGTTTCAAACTATATTCGCAAATGTCATTGATTTCTCGTGTGGCTTATGATGAGCTGGCGCATAGGTTCTACCGAATAAACGACGCGTTTACAGAGTAAAATATTCCCCACTTTTTCTTTCTCGCTGAAAATAGCATAAATAACTCCACCCTATTTATCTTTCCTGAGAGTGAGGTCACGTCACTAGACCGACTAAAAGATTTTGAATGATCAGAAAACATAATTTTCTTATATCCTAAACAGTCACGCGCATAGAGACTTCTGAGCAGACGGAAGCAGAGACATTTACCTGTAAGATGCAAAGCAAGACTGGACCGACAGGCTGATGATTCTCATAGCTAATCTGAAGCTAATTAAGGTGGCTCATCTGTTTGCGCATCAAACTAGTCATATCTGCTCTGGCAGCCCAATCATTGTAAAATTGCTGCGCAGACTGAGACGGCTGGCTTTGTTTTCAAACCTCTAGTCAGCTGCGGAGCGAAGGGGACATCAACCAATCTTTCCAGAGTGTTAAGTGTAATACCACCCACGACCGGTTTAACGCATCAATAAGAGATGTTACCATTGCTAGCCGAGAACTACAAGAGGTCGATCATTTTTGACCACCCGTGATTATCTCATCATCATCATCATTATACACGTTAGCTAGAGGTGGGAAACACCTCAGCTACTGTGCCGCAATACATAAAGGAAAATAAATACAACAGTTGCATGCCAGCTGAGCTACCAGCAACGGATAGGCATCGTTCCGGTAAGCTACCAGCCGGCTACTAGGCAAAAAGAAAAATTATTATGTAAAATTATATTACACTACGAAATAAGACCGTGATTGGAGGGGGAGGCTAAAAGGGATGGGGAGGCACAACGAAACTCACAACATGAACGCCATTGAGGTCGGCTTTTTGCCATGTCAGCAATTGTATCTAGCCCAACGTGTTTACCGTCTTTTGGACCCCAACCAGGGAGCCGTGATGCTCCAACCGAGACTAGCACAGAAGTGAGGGCCTTCATTCCTCTGGACCAAGTCATCGCTTGGCCACCTCTCCTCTTCTTCCATCCATACCCCCGGTGAGCAAACAACTCACGTCATGGAAGTCGGTGGGCTGGCATGTGCAATACATGGCCCAGCCATTGGAGCCTGGTGCGTGAAATGACGGTGCTGAGCGGTTCAGTTCCTTTTGCTGTGCCGTAAACAAGGCGTCGAACACGCTCGTTACTCACGCGGTGTTCCCACCAGATGTGAGCCAAACTGCGAAGGCACCAATATTCGAACATAACCAGCCTCTTTATGTCCACCGATCTTAGGGACCAGGTTTTGCAACCATACAGTAGGGTCGAACGTACCGCTGCATTGTACACTCTATCCTTCAGGACGATAGTGATGTCGCGCCGCCGCCATAGGTGGCGAAGGTTAGCAAAAGCACTTCGAGCTTTTGATATACGGTTCGTGATCTCATCTTCAATCCCAACGGCGCTGATACAACTTCCCAGGTAGTTGAATTTCTGAACGACTTCTAGCAGATCCTTACCAACGGTCAGCGCAGGAGGCGATCCCTGCCAATCTTGGAGGAACGCTTTGCACTTTGATGGTGCAAAGCAAATCCCGAAGCGGATAAACATTGCAGTTCCCTTCTTGCGGGTATTTAAAAGCAGGCAAACCGCTGCTCTGCCGCATTATCTTTTGCAAATGACCGGACGGTTTCTAGGTCATGCATCTTGTAGGCCTTCAGCGGTTTACCTGGACGGGTAATGAGTTGGAACGCAATGCAAGGGGATAACTCGATGATCCAGCAAAAAGATAGATACACTTGAAGAACTTACTGGACCGGTACGTGTTCATGTCCTGAGTGCGGCTATGTTGTCGGATCTATCGATGCCTATGGTCCTGTTGCGTCACGGCCCAGTGCCGGAGTTTTGTACGGTTTCATGTATCGTTTAACAGTTTGCCAACTAGTCCAATATACTTTGCAGTTCGCTAAACTTCCATCCGTCGGTATGTGGGTGCTTTATTTTTTGCACCCATGCTTTTTCACCTCATAGCAACCCTAGTTATGGTGACTGCATTGTCTACTGCGATTGTGTAGGATGAATATAGCTGAACAAATAAATTACAATTTCCTGACTCCAGAGCAGCAAGGTTAAGGTTTGAAAATGGGATACCCATGAGTAGCTTTAACACTGAGGATTAGGAAAGCGGAGTATGTACAACACATTCAATGGGGTTACAATCACTGAATTCACTTACAGTTTCGTGCATGTTATTCGAAAGCAATGTGACTGCGAGAGCGCACTCCCATGGTTTGGGTCCAGTGAAAAGGTGTTGCACGCATCAACTGAGCATTGACGGTCAACCTCACAGCACTGCGTAATGTTAGCTACACAACTAGGCTCGATTCTTCGATTTAAAAGCGCAGAAGAGATAAACTGATGGTTCCTTATCTTGGTATTTGTTCTGAAATGCTCGCGATTTCAATAGGTAGTCAGTAGGGTGCATTAACTCGACATCCTCAAGCAAAATGACCACAGCCTCAAATGTGGTGATCATAAATTATGGACTGTAGCTTCTTATTTAACACTGAATATACCATAAAGGTTGTTGAGAAATAATATCCAGGCAGGCTGTCACTTGACTGGAAGTATCAGTAGCACCTGAAATCAGGCTCCTTATGTGATTTCCGACATTATTCCGACTGTATGACACTATATTTTGTTCCAGCGCATACAGAAAGAGGAGGAGGAGCGCGATAATGAATGGGACAAGCAGAGGATGAAGTCGGCCCGCTTGGGTATCTTGATTGAGCGTGAGATCGAACGATGTACCAAAGAGATCAAGAAAAAACTGGCAGACGAGAACCTTAAATTAGCAATGGATCAGAAGGCCTTCCAAAAGTATCTAAATTCTGAGGTAACTCAAGTGGTTAACGTTTGATCAAAAGCCTTAAAGTCAGTTAAGCACGAATCCCTAATTTTCTACTGGCGTGAAGAAATTAGCACAGTCGAATAAACCCCTTCCATAAATAAATGACAGGACAATCAATAGCCATTATTACACTTCAGGTTGTTCGTAGAAAGTATAAGTCACGATTAAACTGCACACAATAATCTGCCTCGACGGGGAATCGCACCCCGGTCCCACGAATTACCGGTCCGTTGCTCTACAACTGAGCTACCGAGGGCTGACGATCAAGTGCGCAATTTAGTACATGACTTCTGCCTGGTGCGCGACGTATTGCCAATAAGCTCACAGTATCTGTCATGATGTTGTAGATTGGCTCACTCACTCGTCACTTCCCAATGGACCGAAGTATCTGTCCTTCTGATGTCCAAAGGGCGATGGTACATTACTTGTGAATTTTTGTGAGTAGCGTAATGTTCGTAGGAAGGGACGAGTGAGTGAGCCAATCTGCAACACCAGGACAGGTACTGTGAGCTCATTGGCAATACGTCGCGCACCAAGCAGAAGTCGTGTATTAAATTGCGCACTTGATCGTCAGCCCTCGGTAGCTCAGTGGTAGAGAAGCGGACCGGTAATTCGTGGGACCGGCGTTCGATTCCCCGTCGAGGCAGATTATTGTGTGCAGTTTAATCGTGAGTTCTACTTTCTACGAACATTACGCTACTCACAAAATTCCACAAGTACCTCAGGTTGCTTCATTTTATTGTCTTCACTGCGGATTACGTCCTATTTTGTATTAAGCTAAGTGAACAAGGGATGGTTTACATTTTTCTAGTTTCTTTGACAGCGGCCGTTTTAAGAAACCAATAAATGGATGTAGCTGGACCCAACTTTCCAAAACGCATTTTTAAATAACATCTTCTGTTGAACATAGCTACAACTGTCCAAGGGTAAGAACCACATGTAAAAGCATGCACAGCTGTGTACTTTTACTAGTATATTTGTATCAGTAGCACACAGTGGAACCATTAATTACACAGTAATACTTCCATTAAGTACAGTGTCAGTTCATAGGTACGTTGCGTTTATTCACATGCGTGATTAGCGGCGTCAGGTTCCGGGTTTGCCTGTCACTGCGGCCTCTATATATCTGCCAGAGAGCGTCTGCGTTTACAGAGGGACCTTGGGTGGCTTACGCTGCACAACCCACATACCACATATCCAGTGTAACCCAGGAGGAATAAAACAGGGAGGAATCTGAATGGGTGCCACATTTTACCAACCAAGCCAACCCTTCAACATGCAAAGCAGCAGCATTCCGGTTCATCTAATTTTAAAACGATGCTTACCAGACGTACGCAAGGCCGTAGCCAAGGCCTTAGCCAGCTCTACACTGGATGCATTGAAACACAGTGTGGCGCGGCCACAAGGGCCGTGCACTCTATACACCCCGCAAAGATTAGTAGTCTCATATAGCCAGTAATCAAGTGGATGGTGTTAGACAGGTAGACACCTTGTCAACATTGACATCAAGCGCAGCCACACCGCGGATTTCAAGCAACAGCTAACGCTTGAAATGCAAGAAACTCAAAATGCAGGCACCACTGTATACCATTGCTACAAGCTTCTTTTGTCCTCTCATGTTACCACCATATTTTTACGTGCATTTCACTGCACAAAGCCTTTGTGATTTTGACTACGCGAGCGCCTAGTGACGCACCACCGCCAAACCCGCTGACCGGAGCAGACGACTAAGGCAGTCCAAACGACGTGACCAACGCAACCTAAAAGTACGCACTGACCACGGGTCGAAGTTTGTCGACCGGGGGTCCAGTGAGCAACAAACCCAAGGTCGATCATAGCTCAGACAAGCGAGGAACTGAGATCCTCTCGAAAATCACGTGTTCGCTCTGTGCCACTTCCCACGACGCAACAAATGTGAACATTACACCTAAAGGTAACAGCGTAACGATAGTTCGGTTGTGTTTCTGTGACTTATGGTCAGATGGTCCGATAATTACGATGGCCCAAACGCTTGAGATGAGGTGTGAAGCGTTGGCTGTTACGTCGGCAGACCAAAAGGAAGCGATCGCAGTCTTGGGAGGGAAAATCTCAGAACTAGAGTTGCAGATTAGTGCATTACGTAGCCCGAATCCCAGACCTGTTAAAAGGCAAAAGATCACTAGCAACAATGCTACTTAGTCCAGCGAAAGGCGAACACCGTTAGTGAAAAATAGCAGTGAAAACAGGCCGGTTGAACGGTCTCCCAAGTCTCACGTAATGCTCCAAAGTATGCAGTTACGCACAAATTGCACGATCACCCCCGTCAGCAGCTGGGCAACAACAATTAACCCCTACAGATAGTGCAACTAACGGCGTTTTACGTAAAAAAAATCTTGCTTTAGCCTTGGCCTATCGTCCACGGAATACAAGCCAGACACCCCACTCACAAGGAACTGCAGAACAAACAATTACTACGCAACCAAAAAGCGATGACAGTGATATATTCAAACGCCCCATAACCCACTGGCGAATCGCCAAAAGGTAGACAAGCCGAGGAGCAAAACCGCTGGGCTGAAATAACCTGCGCACTCGGACTGAAAGTACTCCCAACTAGTCTTACACGCCTTTCACGAAATCTATCATCTCCACACGCAGGGGAACCTCGGTTACTGCGAGTAACGTTTGGCAACACATGCGACCTGGAAGATGTTCTCTTAGCAAGCCACATTCTAGTGAACTCTTCTGTCAGTGCCTGCATTTTTCCTGACAGGTCATGGACAGAAAGACAGAAGCGGAAATCCAACCCTAGTTCGTCACGTCAAAATGAGATGAAGAAAGTGGTACTGGTTCATGGTGTACCAGAATTGAAGCATGACGATAGTAATGAATGACAGAAGCACGACATAGAAGAATGGAGGTACATCGCAGAACTCTGCGACATGCAGAATGTCGTGGCTTTTGACGTCACCCGTCTAATTGCTTCCTCAAACTACCAAGGTAGCGGGCCCCGAATTTTGAAAGTTACCTTGGCTGCGCCCGAAATCGTATCAGTGACAATCCAAGCATGGCATGAGAACAGGAAACTTGGGCCACCAGAAGTATGGTTAAGACCATTACTTCAATTAGTACAGACCTCAGATACAGATGAGCCAGCCTCAATTGTACCTGCCTCAAATCAGCCAACCGTGCAAACAACCGTCTCAAAAACCTTCAGCAGACAGGCACTATTTGTGCCGGTCACTCACAGCGAACCGAGCTCTTAATGCGTCGACAAATACAATGCTGCTACACCACATGATACAACAACTTGGGACCTCATAGCAGTTACTGAAAGTTGGCTCTCAAACGACTTACATGATCCAGAGAATTAACTCAGTGAGATGTCAGTCATTCGAAATGATTGTCCATCTCGCGGTGGCGGTGTTGCTCTCTACTATCGAGATTATTTGATATGTGAGGCTCTTACCGAAAATTCCCTTGTTATTCCCGACACACTATTTTGCCGACTGCACCTAGCAGGTCGAGATGTTGGTTCACGGAAGACGAGTGATGGTTGCCTCTTAGCAGTTATCTATAGGCCTCCGAACTCATCAGCAGACAGCGATAACATTCTGTTAAACGCCCTCCGCTATGCTGTTTCACAAAGTTCACTACCACCTTATAATGGGCGACTTTAATATTCCTTCAATAGCATCAATGTCCCCTAATGGGCCATCATTTAAATCGAAACTCCTCGAATTCATGGGTATGGCAGTTTGTAAAACCACGTGCATCAACCAACCAGACACCGCGGTTCAGACAAGCCATCACTCCTGGACTTAATCCTGACTAATGAAGAGTTGATAGTTGAGTCAGTAGCATACGATCCTCCGCTGGGCCGTAGCGACCATTCAGTCCTAACATTTGGTTATGTGGGTTATGCCAGTATTGTTGCTAAAGAAAAAGCGACTCAACGAATTATTACGGACTATTTTAAGCTTCACAACTTAGCAACAACCGTTGACTTGGACCTACAAAAGCACAGCTTAGCGAATGACACATGGAATGAACTGAAAGACAAAATTAATTAGGTCATCCAATCAACATCGAAGGTTGTACGATTACAAGCATGGCGCCGGACCAATACGTGGATCCGGAGCGGAACACGTAAATGGATCAACAGAAGAGATGAAATCTGGGGACAACATTCAGTAAGCCCATGTGTGATTACATGGCGGAGTTGCATATTTATCAGAAACTACTGCGCGTCGCTCATTAGAGTCGATAAATACGAATGGCAGGAGAATATGGTGCTGAAATTTACGAGCAACGCCAAACTACTTTACAGATATGTGAATGGCAAAAGAAAGGTTAAGCCCGGGATACTACCACTCAGGACGGCCAGTGGCCTAACAACTACTGCTGTGGATGTCGCGAACGCTCTACTCCTGCAGTTTGGCTCGGTAGCTACAAATACCATGGAACGTTCACCCTATCAACCCCCAACAAATGTCGTTGGCTTATCCAGCGTCACCTTTACTCCTGCAGCTGTTGCAAGCAAATCGCACTCTCTCCGAGAGTACAGTGCCCCTGGAATCGATATGATCTTCCCAAAAGTACTGAAAGCCCTTTCTCCCACCATAACAGCACCACTTGCAACCTTTTTCCAGGGTCTGCTTAACTCCCATACACTCCCATCTGAGTGGAAAAATGGAATTATCACTCCAATATACAAAGGAGGTAAGCGATCGGATCCTGCCAACTACCGATCTATTACACTCCTTCCTGTTTTATCAAAAGTGATGGAATCGGTAATCGCAGCTGAACTGACACGATAATTTGAAAGTCAACAAATTATTCCTAAACCTCAACATGGTTTCAGTCGCAGACGATCTTGTCTCACCAATTTGCTGATTACTCGGGACTCATGGACCAGGGCGGCTGATGTGATTTACTTGGATTTTTCTAAAGCATTCGACAGGGTCAATCACTTCTTTCTCCTCCAAAAGCTTGCTGCCTACGGTATC